TGTGATTGGAATAACAGAGACTTGGTGGGATAACTCACATGACTGGAGTACTGTCATGGATGGATATAAACTGTTTAGGAAGGACAGGCAGGGCAGAAAAGGTGGGGGAGTTGCACTGTATGTAAGGGAGCAGTATGACTGCTCAGAGCTCAAGTATGAAACTGCAGAAAAACCTGAGAGTCTCTGGATTAAGTTTAGAAGTGTGAGCAACAGGAGTGATGTCACGGTGGGAGTCTGCTATAGACCACCGGACCAGGGGGATGAGGTGGACGAGGCTTTCTTCTGGCAACTCATGGAAGTTATTAGATCGCAGGCCCTGGTTCTCATGGGAGACTTCAATCACCCTGATATCTGCTGGGAGAGCAATACAGCAGTGCACAGACAATCTAGGAAGTTTTTGGAAAGGGTAGGGGACAATTTCCTGGTGCAAGTGCTGGAGGAACCAACTAGGGGCAGAGCTCTTCTTGACCTGCTGCTCACAAACCGGGAAGAATTAGTAGGGGAAGCAAAAGTGGATGGGAACCTGGGAGGCAGTGACCATGAGATCATAGAATAACAGAGTTGGAAGGGACCTCTGGAGGCCATCTAGTCCAACTCCCTGCCCAGAGCAGGACCAATCCCAACTAAATCATCCCAGCCAAGGCTTTGTCAAGCCTGACCTTAAAAACTTCTAAGGAAGGGGATTCCACCACCTCCCTAGGTAACGCATTCCAGTGTTTCACCACCCTCCTAGTGAAAAAGTTTTTCCTAATATCCAACGTAAACCTCCCCCACTGCAACTTGAGACCATTACTCCTTGTCCTGTCATCTGCTATCACTGAGAATAGTCTAGATCCATCCTCTTTGGATCCACCTTTCAGGTAGTTAAAAGCAGCTATCAAATCCCCCCTCATTTTTTTATTCCGTAGTCTAAACAATCCCAGTTCCCTCAGCCTCTCCTCATAACTCATGTGTTCCAGTCCCCTAATCATTTTTGTTGCCCTTCGCTAGACTCTCTCCAGATGGTCGAGTTCAGGATCCTGACACAGGGAAGAAAGGAGAGCAGCAGAATATGGACCCTGGACTTCAGAAAAGCAGACTTTGACTCCCTCCGGGAACTGATGGGCAGGATCCCCTGGGAGAATAACATGAGGGGGAAAGGAGTCCAGGAGAGCTGGCTGTATTTTAAAGAATCCTTATTGAGGTTACAGGGACAAACCATCCCGATGTGTAGAAAGAATAGTAAATATGGCAGGCGACCAGCTTGGCTTAACAGTGAAATCCTTGTTGATCTTGAACACAAAAAAGAAGCTTACAAGAAGTGGAAGATTGGACAAATGACCAGGGAAGAGAATAAAAATATTGCTCAGGGATGCAGGAGTGAAATCAGGAAGGCCAAATCACACCTGGAGTTGCAGCTAGCAAGGGATGTTAAGAGTAACAAGAAGGGTTTCTTCAAGTATGTTAGCAACAAGAAGAAAGTCAAGGAAAGTGTGGGCCCCTTATTGAATGAGGAAGGCAACCTAGTGACAGAGGATGTGGAAAAAGCTAATGTACTCAATGCTTTTTTTGCCTCTGTCTTCACGAACAAGGTCAGCTCCCAGACTACTGCACTGCGCAGCACAGCATGGGGAGGAGGTGACCAGCCCTCTGTGGAGAAAGAAGTGGTTTGGGACTATTTAGAAAAGCTGGAGGAGCACAAGTCCATGGGGCCAGATCCACTGCATCTGAGAGTGCTAAAGGAGTTGGTGGATGTGATTGCAGAGCCATTGGCTATTATCTTTGAAAACTCATGGCGATCCGGGGAAGTCCCGGATGACTGGAAAAAGGCTAATGTAGTGCCCATCTTTAAAAAAGGAAAGAAGGAGGATCCTGGGAACTATAGGCCAGTCAGCCTCACCTCAGTCCCTGGAAAAATCATGGCGCAGGTCCTCAAGGAATCAGTTCTGAAGCACTTAGAGGAGAGGAAAGTGATCAGGAACAGTCAGCATGGATTCACCAAGGGCAAGTCATGCCTGACTAATCTAATTGCCTTCTATGAGGAGAAAACTGGCTCTGTGGATGAGGGGAAAGCAGTGGACGTGTTGTTCCTTGACTTTAGCAAAGATTTTGACACGGTCTCCCACAGTATTCTTGCCAGCAAGTTAAAGAAGTATGGGCTGGATGAATGGACTATAAGGTGGATAGAAAGTTGGCTAGATTGTCGGGCTCAGTGGGTAGTGATCAATGACTCCATGTCTCGTTGGCAGCCGGTATGAAGTGGAGTGCCTCCAGGATCGGTCCTCGGGCCGGTTTTGCTCAATATCTTCATAAATGATCTGGAGGATGGTGTGGATTGTACCCTCAGCAAGGTTGCAGATGACACAAAACTGGGAGGAGAGGTAGATACGCTGGAGGGTAGGGATAGGATACAGAGGGACCTACACAAATTAGAGGATTGGGCTAAAAGAAATCTGATGAGGTTCAACAAGGACAAGTGCAGAGTCCTGCATTTAGGATGGAAGAATCCCATGCACCGCTACAGACTAGGGACCGAATGGCTCGGCAGCAGTTCTGCAGAAAAGGACCTAGGGGTTACAGTGGACGAGAAGCTGGATATGAGTCAACAGTTTGCCCTTGTTGCCAAGAAGGCCAATGGCATTTTGGGATGTATACGTAGGGGCATTGCCAGCAGATCGAGGGATGTGATCGTTCCCCTCTATTTGACATTGGTGAGGCCTCATCTGGAGTACTGTGTCCAGTTTTGGGCCCCACACTACAAGAAGGATGTGGAAAAATTGGAAAGAGTCCAGCGGAGGGCAACAAAAATAATTCGGGGACTGGAACACATGACTTATGAGGAGAGGCTGAGGGACCTGGGATTGTTTAGTCTGCAGAAGAGAAGAATGAGGGGGGATTTGATAGCTGCTTTCAACTGCCTGAAAGGGGGTTCCAAAGAGGATGGATCTAGACTGTTCTCAGTGGTAGCTGGTGACAGAACAAGGAGTAATGGTCTCAAGTTGCAATGGGGGAGGTTTAGGTTGGAAAAACTTTTTCACTAGGAGGGTGGTGAAGCACTGGAATGGGTTACCTAGGGAGGTCGTGGAATCTCCTTCCTTAGATATTTTTAAGGTCAGGCTTGACAAAGCCCAGGCTGGGATGATTTAGTTGGGGATTGGTCCTGCTTTGAGCAGGGGGTTGGACTAGATGACCTCCTGAGGTCCCTTCCAACCCTGATATTCTATGATTCTATGACACTACACACAGGAGTGCCCCTACTTGGATGGAGCAAGGAGGCCCCACCCAGAAAACACAACCCCTGGGAGGTCAACAGGGGGGCCTGTGGGGAGCCAGGGCACAGGAAGAGGGAATGCCCCTATGGAACTCACACGGCCCAGGCTAGCCCTGAGGTGGCCAAAGGAAGGCACTGGATGTGCTTCCTGTGCCACAAGGCCGGGGGGGCAGATAAGACGGCTTTGCCCCCAGAGAAGGAGTGGGAGGCCGGAGGATCGGGCTCAGTCTGAGACTGCCCCGAAGGAGGGGGTGGTAAGGACCAAGGCCCCGGAAGTGAGAGGGTCTGGGGCAGAGGGGCCCCAGGTCAAGAAGGGAATCCATGCGGGTGTGAGACAGGCCACAGTGGAGACCCGAACAGCCAGGGAAACCCACATGGGAGCTGAGCAGGCTACAGTGGGCACCCAAACCCTTCAGGAAGGGAGCCAGCTGCTCCAGATGCTGGAGCACCTACGGCAGGGGAGAGACATCCCGCGGGCCCAGCTAAGAGGGAAGCTGGGGAGATAAGACCACATTGGGGGAGCTCGAAGGGGGAGGGTGTGTAGTGGGGTGGCTGCCCCACTCCCACAGAACAGGAGTTAAAAGCATCCCTGGAGAGGGCTGCGGCTGGAAAGAAGCTAGGTTGATTGGGGACGCAGCCACAGCTGTGACCAGCTCAATTAGGGCTCAGCTGGCCCTGATAAGAGGGCTGTGAGCCCGAAGCTGTGGGAGTCTCTCTCTAGCTGTAGAGAAAGAAGGACCTGGCTGCCTAGGAACTGAGCAGGGTACCTAGAGTGGAGCAGGGCTGGGGGAAGGCCGGACGAGCTGGGGAGCTCCAGCCTGGACAATCCCCAGGTTCCAGGCCTTGCTAAAGGCCAGGAAAGGTACTGGGGCTACAGAGGTGTAGCCTGGGAATAGGCAGAGGCAGCTGGTCCAACCCCCCCTTACCAGTGATTACAGACTGCAGTTTGCCCCAGGGAAAGGGGCCTGGATGATGACTGGCAGTAGCCACTGAGACAAGGTGGGTTTAGAACGTTGGGGGTTCCCCAGGGTGGGGAGACCCAGAGTGTGGGGTTACTGCTTGGGCAGAACCCCAGGGTAAAGGGCACCAGGGTCCAGGAGGGACATGGGACCAGTGGCAGGCGAGACACCGGCCTGCAGAGGGCGCTCTATATGCTGGAAAAGAGCTAATTCCCTGGATGACCAGCAGGAGGCGCGGTGAATTGTCGCCTTGCTACACCCTAGTTAATGAAGTAAGTTTGTACATGGAAAGACAGGGATTTCTTTTTGACCCCAGTAGGTATCTCCTGCAAGGAAAGTATTCCCGCACAGAAACATTAGCAAGTCTTATCCGTTTATACCACCAAGTATGAGCTTTGTTTACACTCATCACCAATAGGTCCCAATCCTGCAAGCCCTGAAACACATCCTTTCACTTTAAGCATGTGCGTCATTTTGTTAACTTAATTGGGATGACTAATATGTGTAAAGTTAACGTGCTTATGTATTTGCAGGATCAGGGCTTTAACTTGCATTGGTAAAGTACAGATGCTATTAATGGTCGTAACAGAATCCAGTGCTTTTCAGCCACAGATGGTCTTTATTCTCTGTAAAGAAATATTTTCTTATGTAGGTTCTATTTTTACTGCCCTTTAATTTCTTTGTATCCATTTGTTCTTTTATTATGGGAAATGGGCACTGAGAAAGAACTGACAATAGGTGTTTTAGCCATTTGTAACCACTGTTTTTCTTATTCTTAATTTGATATTTAGTGCCCAGATGCTCCAATCAAGGATCAGGGCCCTGGGATGCTAAGGTCTCTACAAATAAGAAATACCCAGCTCCAGCAGGCATACATTTAATAAGCTTATGAAAGGACACAAGAAGTCAATGAAATGGAGAAAAAGAAGCTGAGAGGGAATTGAGAAGACTGCAGTAAAGGAGCATGTTTTGACAGTCAGCAGGAACCTCAGCTTGCCTTTTGACTAGCCATTGTCACATGGCAATCGACTATGGGCATCACAGCAGAGGCGTGACTCGAATACCTCCTCAAGTCTTAGGTAACTTCTACTTCCTAGTCCTCCTTCCTCTTCCTTCTGGATCCAATTGCTTTTCTAGGCTCAATGGGTAAATTTATCCTGGGTGACAAAATGCTACGGTCCCAAGTGGACGCAAGCCAGGGATACATTTAGCCCAATGTTATAATAGTCACAAAAATGTAAAACTAAACAATGGTTAGGCCACTGGTGTGCTGTGACGACTGTCTAGCATGCTGATGAGTAATGTCTCATTGTTTCCTTGTACTCCATTGTTTGGATCCATCTGCTGTCTTTTCTCTCGTAAGATCTTTGGGGCCGGGGTTGTCTTATTTGTTCTGTGTTTGTACAGCGCTTAACACAATGAGGTCCTGGTGCATGACAAGGACTCCTAGGCATGACGGTAATACAAATCCTCCTCCTCGCCACTGAACATATAAAGTAATTCTTACTCCTGCCAATAGCGCTTTCAGAACAATACAGAAATTCTAATTCATTCTAGATGAATCATCGTTGTTGTTGTTACTTTTTTGTCACTTGGGATTTGCTGTGGGACTGGGGAACTCTACTCGATCTGACTACTGCTTTTATTTTAAAAAAAAGAAAAAATCTAAACAGGATTTTTCTGAAACCACTAGCAATGCGCACCTGCATCCCTGCCACCCTGTTGCAGCATCCTAATACAGACAAAGCAGAGGGCCATTCAGAATAGATTGTCATGGAATTTTTTGTGGAAACACTTACACCCCCAAATATCCAGGGGAGCTTTGCCTAAGTAAAAGTTGAGAGAATTTGTGCTCTGGACCACGGTGCCTATGACAAAGCGCTGCACTGAGTTGAACTGGTGGGCACTATGTTCCATTTTGATATTCCCTTCTCATTGGGGAGGAAGGGAGAAGGCAAGATCAGTCTACATGAGATGTGATTTTTTTAAAAAAACAACACAATTACAACATTAGCATGTGCCTGGGGGTTGGGTTGGGGGCAATAAGTAACTCAGGATACTGGTAGCAAGGATCTCTGGAGCCTTTCATGACTTGCTCAAATCAAGGTGAAATCTTTAGTGGCCGGAAATCATCATTGTTATTATAGTTTGTATGACCTTCATGTGTAGCAGCCCGGACCAGGACTTCGCTATTCTAGGTGCTGTACAAACACGGAAGAAAAAGAAGGTTTATGCCCCCATGAGCTTATTATTTAATAATACTTGGCTCTTTCATAGCACTTAAAAGAGGTCAGCATTATTACCACCATTTTACAGATAGGGAAACTGAGGCACGGAGAGATGAAGGGACATGGGCAAGGTCACCCAACAGGCCAATGGTAGAATCCGAGTCCCAGTCTAGTGCTCTTTCCACTAGCCTATGCTGCCTCTCAGACAAGAGATGACAGGTGGATGCACCTAGATGGGGAAGTATAACCAAACAATGAGTCAGTCTGGTGGCTGTTCAGTGGTCTGTATGAAGTGAAATGGGGTCTTAGACCAGATCTAAGCAGACACATGTCCACAACAGAAAACAATTAGCCCCACAACTGGCATTAGCTGACCCCTGTAGTCAACCGTGGAAAGAGACAGGAGCAACAAAGTTTGTTGCAGTTCTGAAAGCAAAGAAAATGAGCTTTCATTGGATATGGGGGATAACTGGGAGTCAGTGAATGGTCTGAAGAGAGGCTGGTTATGGTCAGAATGGCAGGCGAGGTGGCTGATTGCAGCTACAGTCTGGACACACTGAACGAATGGGTTGAGAGGAAAGAGAACCGTGAACCTGGGAGGCCAGAACCATATAATGAAAAGTGGGGAGAGGCAGCACGTGGAGGGTTGAGGAAGACAAAAAAAGGCTATTTGCACAAGACATATGAAACATCTCCCGAGCATCTCCTGAAAGTTTTCCTTTGAGCACAAACCTCTGCCACACAGCAGAAAGCAGTACACTGGAATAACTATGTGCATATTGTAGCTGCCACTCCGTACATCAAATTAGTAAAGCCCAATAAATCCCCTATTATTTTGTTGCACTATAGAGAATACAGGTGTCTTTATGCATAACATTTTCACGCAACCCAGCAGGAGTTACACTTTAAGCCTAAATGGCATGCACTTCGTTATCTAATTTTTACATGTTAATTCTCTCAAGATGTCTGTTAACGTAAACCTCATTAATTAATGTTCCTTTGACATCTGGCAGCGTACGATGCACTGTTTTAATAAAATCAAGACTGCAGCGTAGTCTTATTACCATGAATCACAACATCAGTGACACTTTGTGGGCCTTAAAAATAATTTCACTTAACCCACAACAAAGGTGTCCAGCAAAGCAGAGGTACACCACCACTCTACTGTTCTTCTGGTTGCATTGTCTTTAAGGCAAAATTATCCTAATATGGATATTCAGGAGGATGGAAAGAGTCTTCTCTCAACCGAGCACATCCCATGGAAAGAGTGAGGGATATTTGCACTCTTGGGCTTAAGGGAGAAAAAAACTCAACTAATGGATCATCATGAAGATAGGTCCTTTGTCTCAGTTGAAAGGGGCCCCAACCTTAGTTTGTGGCTATGGTGTAATCTGCACCTCTAGCTCCAACTCAAACACCAGGTCCAAAATGTGTCCAGGTTCAACAGATCAATCAACACTGTAAACATTAAAAAGGAACAGAAAAAGAAAAGAAGTGAATCCACATTCCTCTACACGTCTTATTTTTGGATTGGAGGTTGGGTGACCAGATGTCCTAATTTTATAGGGACAGTCTTAATTTTTGGGTCTTTTTCTTATATAGGCTCCTATCACACCTCTCCCCCCCCCCCATCCCAATGTTTCACACTTGCTGTTTGGTCACCCTAACTGGAGGCAGAAGACATCAACATATCACAGTAAAGATCGCTTTTGCATTGTTTCCATTCTGACACATCTGGAATCAACTAGTACCTGAGATCTGAAGACAGATCCTGAAATTTCATGCCTGGTTTCCAGACTAAAGAGTATTGGGGCTAGATCCACACAGTCATTTAAGCACCTAAATCCAAAATTTAGAACCTGAACCCCTCCCCTGCCCTTAGCTGCTGCCTAACCTTGTTGGTGCCTGAAATTTCTGCTGGTAAAGTCCCCTAGGTCTCTTCATTTCTATTGGTGGGAATGCACAATGCTGCCTCAGTCTTGACACCCGGCACCTCACTTGAACCTAAGCCACATTGGGATCCTCAAACTAGGCAAGGGACTGACTATCTTGCCTGTGGGGTCTGATTTGGTAGGTGTGCTCTGAAAATGCCTACTGGATCAGCCTCTTGAGCAGGGACTGGAAGCTGGGTCTCCCAGGAGAGTGCTCTAACCACTAGCTAGAGAGTCACTCCCACGCTTGCTGGCCTAGTGAATATTTAAATATGTCATACAAAAAGAGGAACAACTTCAACAGGAGGGATTGAGAGCACCACCCTGTCTACCCTCTAAACCAGTGGTTTGTGCATTCTCTGGGGAGGTGGGAGGGCTGGGTTCAAGTCCCTGCCCCACACCAGGCAGAGTGGGGATCTGAACCTTGGTCTCCCCCATCCTAGGTGAGTGCACTGGATACAGCATCTAAGAGCATCACCAGCCTCTCTGCTTTTAGAGGGAAAAAGACTGACATAGTTTAGGTGCAAGATACTTGGCATGCTGCATGATGAACAGATGCCCAGACAATTTACGGGACAACTACACAAAACTGTGGCAAGTCCAGCTCTTCTGTACAGATCAGAGAGACGGGTGATCAAGAAGAGGCACTTGAGAAGACCTGAAGCTGTTGAAATGAGATGTCTGAAGGCAGCAAGAGGGGTGACATCGCTGGACCACACGTGGAATGATGTGATCAGGAGCGAGACCAAGGTCTGCGATGTCAGAGAGGAGGCTGAGATGGTATGGGCGTGTATGATGGATGGAGGATGGGAATCCGGTTAGGGAGACACTTGAAACTAGAGCTCGAGGGAAAAGGAGAAGGAGACCTCCAAGCAAACAGTGGATAGACTGTGTAAGGGAGGACAGAGTGGATATAGAGCAAGCGTTGGATTGGCAAGCCTGGAAAAAAATGATCTGGCAAACTGACCCCATTTACTGCATAAAGGGGAAGAAGCTTAGAAGTACAATGTATTTTTATAGGAGGGCTCTGTCTGGCTCATGCAGAGGTAAAGAAAACCTCACACAAAGACAGCAGTGGTACACTGAGCATGAGTCCATACACATTTTATTAACCCAGTTACAACTTTCACTCAACTGGGTGCCTAGACACATGGATAAACAAGGCCAGACTAATCTTACTGAAATACATACTTCTCTCACCCTGCCATGCATTATACATTGTGGTCTGTGCACGCAAGAGGCTGGAGTTGCCTGTATCTCAGGGACAATTTTAACAACAAAATGATTCACCTCAGGGGACTTCTCTCACTTTTCCATTTAAAAAAAAAAACAACCCAAATCCAAACAAGTGATGTTTTTATGATGTGAATTATAGCCCAATAGGAAATGAACTCAGAATATCAAACTGCTTTCAGTTGGGTAGGAAAGAGATTTCCCCCTCGATCTGGGCACCTCTTCTGCAGTCAAAGGCAAGCAGCTAGAATGCCACATTCCCAAAGGTCAAAGGCTAACTTTCATTCACCGAAACATCAGAGACCCTTTCGGATTTTAATTGCAGAGAGGTTATTTGTACGGTCAAGTGACGGAAAGGGTACAATGGACTGAGGCAGAACTATGCCCACAAAATTCAGTTCAGGTTCTGCTGCGGTTCAGAAAGGATGACAAGTTTAAAAGTGAAGAAAAATAGTGCTTTCAGAAACTCCTGACATGTCTGTTGGTTTGTTGTTTATAGATATACGCATTAGATATATAAGCAAGCCAGCTAAATTCCATCCTCATGGACAGTTCAATGGAAAGTTAGTTTGAAAATACAGTATATCATATTTCATGAATTTAATAGGGTTTTCATGATTTTACAAAGTGCTTCAACCAGACACTCACAGCTGGAGGCTGCACAGCAGGAGACCTAAAACACTGCAT